TCCAAGGTGTTTGTGGTTCAGAGGACTAGAAGAACAGTCAACTTGTGGGAATAAGTGTCCTTCAGCTTTTTTTCCAGGCAGCCTGAGGTCTGCTATGGGATCAGTGGGTGTGTCAGTGAGAAGAGCAGAGATGCTGTGTCCAACGTCCCTGGGGGGGCCGGCCTTCTCAAGGCTTCAGCGGTTTACCTCTGACCTCTTTTGGTTTGCATCACATCAAGTTGTTTTTCTTTTCAACATAGGAAGCTCCATCCGCTGGATGTCAAACAGAAGCTAACTTACTGAACTTCTACATGTGACTAAACCTGCAGGGCTGAAGGTCAGGAGTTCAACCTTATGATACCAGGAAAAAAAAACGGGTTCACTAGAATCAACAAAGTTATTTCATTTTTTTACAAATACAGTAAATGTTACAACAATTAGAGAATCTGTTTTCAGTTAAATATATTTCTTCTCAGGTTTAACTGGTCCAAACTTTACTTTAGTTTTAAGTAATTCTTGTCTCACCCACTCTAAGCTGATCAAAGCCTAAAAAGGTTACTTCTTTAGATTTAATATCTGATGACGTTCAGCTTTGATCAATAAAATTTCTATTCAGTTTATTTCTATAGCTCCAATTTACATCATGTGATCGTAGATCACTTTATAGAGACTATTCAACCAGATCATCCAGTCAGATTGATTCAAAGTTTTCTATCTAAGGAAAACCAGCTGATTGCATCGACAAATTGACTCTTTAGCAATCCCTCACACTAAGCATGCTTGTAGTGACAGTGGAAAGGAAAAACTCCCTCTGAACAGGAAGAAACCCCCACTGTTAAGTTTGGCAGCGTAATATTGACATAATAAGGTGTGATTTATCAGACAGGTCTCCACTGCTGAATGAATGAATCCTACTTCATGCAGGTCTCCACACACTGTTCTCCATCTAACCCAAAGATGAAAGATGTAGATTTTGATTATGGTCAAGAAACACTCAGCAAAACAAAGTTTCTGAATGTTTTAATGTCACAGGTTGTGTTTGACACTCTGAGGGTAAATGACCTCTCCCTGGTGTTTTGTCCTGACCTCTGACCTCAGGTCGAATCCCCAAATTCAGAGATCAATTAATGCCTGATCAACCGAACTGTCTGTAATCAAAGCAGCTATTAGCATTTTATTTTCTGAAGTTCCCGTTGTTCAGTCTGGCTGTAGCGTTTGGGCCCTCGGCTGCTCCATCAACCAATAAATAGGCTGAAATTCAGCACTTTAGCTTGTCTCCATCCTGACCGTCAGCCCTCTGCTCTCAGATGGGAAGTTGGCGTCAGATTTAAATAAGTAGGTCCCCAGGGGACAGTCCTGACTTTAAAAATAGGACTGAGATGACAGCCTCAGCTTGCGGCCTGACTACGAGTATTGAACTGTCCAAACTGGTGTTAGACCAGAACAAAAAGCTGCCAGATGATGGAAGAGCTGCTGTCAGGACTTTTCTGTAGGTTTCTATAATTATGCCTGTACGGTTTCAACATGAATCGGTCTTATGAACAGCAGAAATATTAGATCCTTCAACTTGCCCTGGTGTTTCAGAACTGCTTTAATCATTAGATTAGTTTATTATCACACTGCTCTCCTCAGGCCTTTCACGTTCTTCTCACCTTAAACATAAGACGCTGACTGGAAAAACAAATTTTGAGTATAGAAAATCTAATGACTAAATCTGATTTATGTATTTTCTCAAACTTCACTGTGTCAGGAAGTGGGAATAGTTTGGAACATAAATGCAGACATGAGCTCTCAGCATAAAAATAAAGTTTTTAATAAAGAAGTTAGAGTTGATCTCCCACTGAAGCAGAGTCTGGCATAAAGTAAGGAAATGGAAAAATCCAGGAATGACACATCAAGAAAAATGTTTAAATACCGGGACAGAGAGAGAGGGAAAGGAAGGAGAATGAGGGAGGGAGAGCAGGAACAGACTGAAACACAAGGAAGAAATCTGACAGAGTCCAGAACAAAAAAGGATCAAGAACTGGATCAACAATGAAGAACCTAAAGGCAGCAATAAAATGAACACGAAGAGATGATGAGGAAATAAACTGGTGGTCATGAGCACATGGAGCAGATCTGAAAAATAAAAGCAAGCAGTCATAACTATAGAACATTTCCTAAAGTAATGAGAATACAGAAGAACAGGAGTTGGTTTTATTTCTTTTATCTAGAATTTTTGAAATTCAGATGCAAATTACCTTTAGACATTTAGGCACCAAAGGAAGGATCGCTAGAGCAACAGAGGATGAATAGAGTCAGTGGATGTGTTCATGTTTTCGGACATCAGTAGAATAATATTAGTGGGAAGAAAACATCCGTGCGGACCTGCGAACATGAAGGCAACAGGAGGGAAACAATCTTTTTCCAGTAGTTTAACACACCTCTCTGCAGCTTCTCTACTGTTACCCACTCATTACTCCATCCAGACAGTGTCTTGCCCACGGCCAAAATCGAATGAATTACAAAAGAATCCTGAAGGAGTGAATCATGATATGTAATCAAAAATCATAATCAAAAATATTAAATGCGGTCTGTTTAACATAAGATCTCTTTTCTCAAAAAGTCTGCAAGTTAATGACTTGATTTGTGATAATCACATTGATTTATGTTGCCTTACAGAAACTTGGCTGCAGCAAGAGGATTATGTGAGCATAAGTGAGGCAACTCCTTCTAGTTATTTAAATTTTCACATACTCAGAAGTTCTGGCTGAGGAGGAGGAGCACCAACAATCTTTCAGTCTGAATTACTGATTACTCCAAAGGCAGTTAATAAATACAACTCTTTGGAACATTTAACCCTTATTTTCCCTCATCCAAATTTCAAAGCAATAAAACCTTCTTTTTGTAACTTTGTATCGTCCACCAGGTCCTTTCTGATTTGGTAATAAAAACTGACAGGGTCATCATAGTGGGGGATTTTAAAATCCATGCTGACACATTCACATCACATACACACATTCTCATCTTCATACTTTGGATCTTGTGCTGACATATGGCATAGAATGTGAAGAAATAACAGTACTTCCTCACAACCCTTTCCTCTCTGACCACTTTATAATAACCTTCAGGATTACTTAACAGAGTTCTCTTCCCCCAAAAGAAGGTTTCACTTAAGCAGATAATTATCAGATAATGCAGTTATAAAATTTAAAGAATCTGTTTTACTTTCTCTCTCCTCTGTGTCACAGAGCAGTGCTGCAGGGTGCAAAAGCTTAGTTCATTCCCCTTCACAGGTTGATGATTTTGTTGATGGTGTTGCTAGTTCTCTGCGTACTGCCTTAGACAACATAGCAACTTTGAAAAAGAAAAACGTTAAAATTAGAAAGCTGGCTCCTTGGTTTAATGCAGAGATGCGCACTTTGAAGCAAAATACTAGGAAACTGGTGAGAAAATATCGCTCCACTTGCTTACTGGAATCCTACCTGGTCTGGAAAAATAGTTTACTGCTGTATAAGGAGACCCTTTGTAAAGGAATAGCAGCATATTTCTCCGCATTAATAGAGGAAAATAAGAATAATCCAAGATTTCTTTTCAATTCAGTTGCCAAACTCACCCAGAGCCATAGCTCTGTTGAACCATCCATTCCATCTGCTCTTAGCAGAGCTAAGAAATCCCATTTTATGGGATTCTTTATAAATAAGATTGATCTTATTTATAAAGGGACCCCAAGAGCAAAGGCACCAAGGAGGGGCCAACCCAGGAAATCAGACACCCACCAAGGGAGGAGGAGAGACAGCCCTGAGGAAGTCCCCCAGCAACCGCAATGCCGGAGCCCCAGGGAGCCGCAGGGACGAGTCCGTGGACTCCGCCGGCAGCCACCCACCCTGAAGTGATTCCGGCCCTGGGCCCCAGGGATCCGAGGCCCCAGGGGCGCCCGACCCCCAGGCAGGAGCCCGAGCCAGGCCCCGACCGGACTGGACCCCACGGAGAGGCCGCCAGGAATGAGCCAGCATCTACCCGGGCATCCACCCCCAAACCCTGAGCTACACCAGTGCCCCGGCGAGCCCTGGTGCCAGCCAGTGGAGGTAGAGCAGGACGAGGGGAATGGGCTCTGCACTTAGCGGAGACTTGTGATGTGCTTGGAAGAGGGAGCAGTTCAGACCCCAACCTGGGAGAAGGAAGAAAAAAAAAACTCAGTCTCAATCACGCCTTCCCACCCTAGTGCCTCCTCTCACACCACAGAAGAAAAAATAAATAAATAAATAAAAAATGCGGACGCACATTCACACATAACACTCACATCCAATAATACCAGGATCAAGGACCCGGCGGCACCGGTGGTTGGTCCCGGGATTATCGGATGACCCAATAAGTGAACCTAAAATCCGGATGGTGGGGAGGGGAGCAGTGACACTGCCACACCAACCCATCTCGTTCCTGCTTCAAGCCCGGCCCCCCACCCCGCACCCGGACCAGACCACCCCAAGCGAGAACTCCACCGGGATCCTGACTCCTCTGGCTGTTTTTAGATGTCCGATTAGCATCATGTGGGAGCAGTTCTGCAGACCATGGATGCTTCTTTGTCTGGAACATGAGCAGACCATCATGAGTGGAGCTCCAGTGCTATTTAGCTTCCAGCTGCTCAGACCAATGAGTGAAGATCTGCAGAAATAGACCACCCATCATAGATAATAGTTCAATAATCAGCTTTGATTAATAAATAGCCAGTGAGCTTTTGTAATGGATGAATCTACTGGTCCACCCGGATCAGAACCACAGCAGGTCACCAACAGTGATTAACTTACATGACATTTACGAAGAAATTAACTCTGGTTTAAATAAACCAATAAATGAGAGTATGGAAGTTTTGCATGGATTCATGTTTAGCCTCCTTTATTCTGATCTGTGTTAATATTTGACAATAAATCTTTGGTTTGTGTTTTTAAATAAGACGGATTAAGAAAACGTTCAATCTTATCAGATCCAGTTTCAGCTCCTGTTTACAAAATGATCTCTCCTGATTGTTTTCCTGCCTTCAGCTCTTCTTTACGCCACCATCTTTGGAAACGTGACAACCATCTTCCAGCAGATGTATGCCAACACCAACCGCTACCATGAGATGCTCAACAATGTCAGGGACTTCCTGAAGCTCTACCAGGTTCCCAAGGGCCTCAGTGAGCGGGTCATGGACTACATTGTCTCCACCTGGTCCATGTCCAAAGGCATCGATACGGAGAGGGTAAGGCTGGATGGAAGAGCTGAAGGTTTACTTAAAACAGAGTCTGCACGCTGGTTCTTCAGAGAAAACAACCTTTGTGCCTCAGCTGGATCAAGTTCAGTTTCCTTTCCCCCAGAGAGACAGATCACAGCCAATAAATCATGTGATGAACCTGCTACATAAAGAAAGCCCACCGGGCGGATCTTTATCTGACGGTAAACTAGAGTGAGGAAGAAACCTTCAAGTTTTTATGCTGTGCAGAAAACTGCAGTAAGAAAATAACCCTGGGGGGTTTAGGAAGCGCCTGAACATCCTCCTGCAGTTTGCTGCTTTCTAGTCCAGCAGCTCACACTGATTACAGCAAAGATGGCATCCTCATTATCAGATCACAGGCGCTCTCTCTGCAGCTAAAAACCAAATAGGCAGAAGGTTTTATTTTCTAATATTATCTTATTGAGCCTTCAGGGAAGCTGAAGATTTTGCTTATTTTCTTGGCTGTGTTGATGAGAAAGCAGCATGCTGGTTAGTCAAGCTCCATGCTTCCCTTTCTTTGCAGGCTTTCCTCCAAACTGAGGGACCCCCTCCCTCTGTGCTTCAGGAGATGATAATGTTAACTTAAAGAGGCTTTAGACAGGTCCAGTCTCCCCCTCATCTATTAATACTTTGCAGTCAGAACTGGGACCAATTAGTGGATATTTCTGTCACTTTAGGAGTCATTATGTGGGACACAGTTAGCTGCAGCTCCAAAGCTCCTGATGCCGTCGCTGAATCTCGTCCTCCGAGGGAGGATTCTCACCTTCAATGTCTGCCTGCTTCAGGGACTGGGGGGAAGCTTTAGAAAGATCTCCTGTTGTCTCCCAGAGGGATGGAGCAGCAGATCCATCAGTATTACTCACATCATCGTCTAAAGTTCACCAACACCGCATCTTTCATTTGAAATTATTTTCTCTTCCTGCTGCAGAAACAGGATTCCAGTACGAACAACATTACCTGCAGCCTTTCAATGTTGCTTTAGTTCGAAAGATTACAGTAAAGATGTAAAACACGCACTAGTGAAACAAAAGATTATCTAGAAACCATATTGCACAGATTATTGGCGGTTTGTTTGGACTGGACCAGTGGATTCAGTCCTGGTTTTAAAGTGTTTCATTGCTGCTAAAACACCTGACTATTTTCAATGAATGATTGATAAGGCATCATCATCTTCCTCACTAGGACTGAGCAACATCTAGAACACTCAAATTTGTAATGGAGATGCAGACGTAAACCCTCAGAGAGGCGTAGAAACCAAACTGCTTTGTGAAAAAAGTTCAGAACAGGAAATCATTTCCAATGCTGTGATTCTACAGGGACTCCAAACCAAACCACCAGGCCAGGCTGCCCTGCGGAGGCGCCACCTGGAACCTCTGGTCACAATGAAACCATTGTTGATGGAACTTTCTCTGCTGTTATGTTTATCATTTAGTAAATGCTATGTGTTCCTGTCCAGTTTTAGACCATCTGATTGCTGCCACTTTAAAAACAAAGCGCCCTGTAAAATCAGTGTATTGATTCCTGTTTCTTTTGTTCATCTAAAACCATTCAGGAGGGTTGATCTGAAATCCTCTTTAACTGCTGGTCTTTGAAGAACCCAGCAGTTATTTAAAGTATTTTTCCTTCCCTTTCAGGTCTTGTCTATTTGTCCTAAAGACATGCGGGCTGACATTTGTGTCCACCTCAACAGGAAGGTATGTGTCCAGTGCTGGGGTTCTCAATTCTGTTTGGGAGATCCAATAACATTAGACTCAGAGATCAGAGCCAATCAAAGACTTTGTCAGCACTGGAGAAATGAACTCCAAACCTGCTCAGATCAAGTATTGTTTTGTATGGAGGTTGAACTTCTTTACTACATTTTTTAAGAGTTCATCCTGAAAGTATTCACACCCCTGCATTTGGTTCTGTTTAAGATCAGTAATGTGGCTTCGATTGGACAGTCGAGGATGTAGGCACTGCTGGTTGTTTATTAGTCTTGATTCGTGCCATGAAGGGGCAGAAATTTTTTTATCGAATGTCAAAACAGTGAAAAACAATTTTCTAAAGCAAATGTCAAAATAAGGAGTTGACTTACAGTGAGTCCAAGAAGTATTTGATCCCTTGCTGATTTTCTTTGTTTGCCCACTAATAAAGATGTGATCATTCTGCACGTTTAATGGCAGATGTATTGTAACATGGAGAGACAGAATATCAAAAAGAAAATCCAGAATATAACTTTAAAGAATATATATTAATTAATCTGTCTTTCATTGAGGGAAATAAGTATTTGATCCCTCTAGCCAAACACAGTCAATACTTAGTGGCAAAGCCTTTGTTAGCAAGTACAGCAGTGAGACGTTTGTTGTAGTTAACCACAAGTTTAGCACACACACCAGGGGGAATTTTGGCCCACTCTTCTTTGCAGATCCTCTCTAAATCAGGAAGGTTGGTGGGCTGTCGCTTGGCAACTCTCACCTTCAGCTACCTCCATAGATTCTCAATCGGATTGAGGTCCGGAGACTGGCTGGGCCACTCCATGACCTTCATGTGATGTTTCTTGAGCCAATCCTTTGTTGCTTTTGCTGTGTGTTTCGGGTCGTTATCATGTTGGAAGACCCAACCACGTCCCATTTCCAGCTTCCTGGCAGAGGCGAGGAGGTTGTCCCTCAGGATTGTACGGTACATGGCTCCATCCATCTTCCCAGTGATGTGGTGAAGTAGCCCTGTACCCTTGGCAGAGAAACACCCCCAAAACATTATGCCTCCACCTCCATGCTTGATGGTGGGCACAGTGTTCTTGGGGTCATAGGCAGCATTTTTCTTCCTCCACACATGGCAGGTAGAGTTGAGGCCAAAAAGTTCAATTTTGGTCTCGTCTGACCACAGAACCTTCTCCCAATAACTTGGTTCATCTTTCAGGTGATCATTGAGCAGGGGTACCTTTAGGGCACTGCAGGATGTTAGTCCATTGTTGCGCAAAGTGTTGCCAATTGTTTCCTTGCACACTGTGGTCCCAGCTGCCTTCAGGTCATTTACCAACTCCTGACGAGTGGTTGCAGGATTATTTCTGACCGTTCTCAGGAGCATTGTCACCCCACGTGGTGAAATCTTCTTTGGAGCACCAGGCCGAGGTCTGTTGATGGTCATGTTATACTCTTTAATTTTTCTAACAATTGCACCAATAGTTGTTACTTTCACATCCAACACCTTGCTAATCTTTTTGTAGCCCATTCCAGCTTTGTGGAGGTCAACAATCCTGACTCTGAGGTCCTGAGACAGCTCTTTGGTCTTACCCATGTTGGAGACTTGAAATCTGTCAGATTGTCTGATTCTGTGAACAGGTGTTTTTCACACAAGTGAGTAGTGAGAACAGGTGGCTTCAGTTCAGGTGACAAGCTGATTGGGAGTGTCTAACTGCTCTGTGAAAGGCAGAACTCCTAATTCATACTGAGGGATCAAATACTTATTTCCCTCAATGAAATACAAATTAATTAATATATATTCATTAAAGTTATATTCTTGATTTTCTTTTTGATATTCTGTCTCTCCATGTTAGAATACATCTACCATTAAACTTGCAGAATGATCACATCTTTATTAGTGGGCAAACAAAGAAAATCAGCAAGGGATCAAATACTTCTTGGACTCACTGTAAGTGTTCTAACAGTAGAGACAGTGTGATGTCCTGGCTTTAGGAAGGTCAGTTCACTACATCCGGATTCAATGAAGGAACACGAGGGAGTTTAAAGCAACATGTGTGTGTTCAGATTTCCAGTGCCTGGAGGTCCAACATGACTAAGAACCAGAACCTGCTTCAGTGGATCAGAGAAGTGTTGATCAAGGATAACTTTCTATGGTTCTCAGTAAATGGAAGTAAAGTCTCCTAACTGACCTAAAATGGAAACATCATCTAAGGTCAAATGACACGTTTAAAATCACCCGCTGTAGACACAAGAGAGCCACAGGAAGTTTATTTATTTAGGAACTCCAATGTGGATCAAGTCAGAAGGTCTTGATCCAACTGGAGTCTCTAACCTCCGTTGTCTCCCTCCATCACATCCAGGTGTTCAATGAACATCCAGCCTTCAGGTTGGCCAGCGACGGCTGCCTGCGCTCTCTGGCTGTGGAGTTCCAGACCATCCACTGTGCACCAGGGGACCTGATCTACCACTCTGGGGAGAGCGTTGACACCCTCTGCTTCGTGGTATCTGGGTCCCTGGAGGTCATCCAGGACGACGAGGTGATCGCCATCCTTGGTATGTGATCTAATGTAGGCTGGTGGACCAGGATTGGCTGCAGAGCCGGTCGAAACCACAGCATCAGCTAGCTGAGATTAGCAGCCAGAAGCTCCAGGCTGGATGATTGTTCATCTTTAGACTCAGTGTTGGCTAATGTAACTCACACTACCTTATATCACTGTAAAAATTAGAGCTCTAGGTGCAGGATAAAAACAAGCTACGTCTGATAATTAACCCTGATATCAGTCCACAGAAGACACTGTGAGGCTTGATAGTCTTTGACCCTGTTCTTGTCATGGTTTTGTTAAGACCTCTGACCCACATGCAAAAAGAAAACTCCCAGGAGACAATCAGATAACTGTTTTTATTGAAGAGGAGGGAATAAGGTAAAGGGGAGATCAGGAACTGCAGGGATGGAACAGGAGGCAGGTACCCTAAAAACAGACCACAGGATTAAAACAGACTGACTGAGGGAATGAATGCAGCTGGCAGCCAGCTTATATGTGCGAGGGAATCCGTCTGCCAGGGAAAGGGGAGTAAGGTACGGATTTGTGGCTGTGACTCAGTGGTGGTGAGTTTGGTTCTTTCAGGTAAATGGTGATCTTGAGAGAAGTATTGTAACTGCTTGGTGGGCAGGCCGGCTCCAGTCCAGTAGATAAATCCAGTTAACTTCTTGGTTATTTGGAGGTGCCTCAGGAAAGTAGTTTGCAGAGGCGCTCTTAGAACAGGGAACTGAGAGTTACCATGTTTGTGCAACACTCTGGCAAAGTGTGACTGGAGTCCTGCCTCGCTTATACAGCTCAGGTAATAAGGCTGATGAGCTGGAGGTGCAGATCCAGCCCAGCAAAACATAGGAGTCTGGTGGAAGACCCTGAAGAATAAAGAAATAACCCAGCCACAAACATAATCCCTGTAACCCCCTCAAACCTCCCAAGATAAAGGCTGTAGTCTGACTCAAACCAGGTTGATAGGAGAACTTTGAGGTATGAAACCATTGGATAACTCTGGAAGAGATTGTAGAAGAGATATAAGTAATAGGTTCAGGCTGGTGTCTAGGGTTAGGTTCCTTCAGTAGGGCTCGGCTGACTATCTCCTCAACCTCCCAGGTTACAGAACCAATGATGCAGCTGGGAGGTAAGATAGTAATGCGTTCTGGTGTAATGTCATTAGAAGAGAACTGGCAGGACAGGGCATCTGGCTTGATGTGGGCCCAGGTCAGTAGGAGCTGGAAAGGTTGAATCTGAAGAACAAGGACCAACAAGACTCTCTGAGGTTCAGGCGTCTGTCTCCTATGTCGTAGTTCCATTCCAGAGGAGCTAATCGTCTGGAGCAAAAGGCACAAGAGTGGAGCTTGTTGTCAGGTCCATAACTCAAGGATAGTACAGTATCTACTCCCAAATCTAAAGCATCTACCTCAAGGATGAACTGTTGTTTGGGGTCGGGGTGTGTAAGGACAGGGGCTTGAGTAAGCATAGACTTAAGGTTCTGAAAGGCATTTTCTGCCTCAGGGGTCCAAGAGAAGGGTGATTTGGTTGAGGTCAGTGCTGTGAGTAGAGCTGCTATCTGGCTGTAGTATGTATGAATCATCGTTGGCTAGGAACCGTTGGGAGTAGTTTGCGGTTCTCAGGAGTGGACCCTTCAGTTACTAGTTTGATCTTAGCTGGGCATGCACGTACCTGCCCACCCTCGAAGATGTAACCTAAGAAAGCAACCGAGGATCTCTAAAACTCACATATCTCTGCCTTGACCTAAAGGTGGTTCTGAAGAAGTCATTGGAGAACGAGGCTGACTTGTTTCTGATGTTCAGCAAGAGGGTTTGAAAATATAAAAATGTCATCTAGATAGTCAAAGACAAAAACTCAGGAAGTCTCGTAGGACATCACGAGTATTTCATTGTTCTGGAAGTGATGTGTTATCTACACAGAAGTTAATGTAGTCAGTCACCTCCATGTGGCTGACACAGTGCACCCCTGGACCATGGTGCTCATCGGGGTCCAAAATTGGCACGACCAGAGGCTGAATCCATGAGCTCGCTGCCGTGGCACCATGGGACCTTGGCACTATGGCCTCTAGGGTCGGGCCCCTCAGAGGCCGGCCTCTTTATTGACCCTGGGCACTGTAGGGTGAATCTGGGGATGCCCACACCTGCTCATAGGCATATTTTTGTTATGGATATGTTAGGCATCAGAACAACAACATCAGAACAAACCACAAGGTCTCCCAGTTATCAAATGATCCAGGTAATACAGTATCTCCTTTTGAAATAACTCTTACCTTACAGTCCAGCATATCACCTGTCATTTTTCTAAAGTCCTAAACACTAGACAGGAAAAGATAGAGAAGCCCCAAGTCTTTATTTAAATGATACATGCTGTAAAGAGACGAGGAGAGAGCAGCATCAGAATAACACAAACTCTGCATACAGCTCAGCGGCGATAACAGTTGGTTTGAGGGAAAAAAAAAGAAGCAGTCATTAAAACACCAAAGGTCTGGTGAGCAGCTCAGGGGCTGCTTTGACAATGACTGTCCTTCACTGCCAGCACCTCAAACGGACACAAGCCAGAATCCATGTAATCACTGCACTGACAACATTTATGATTAGGGAAAATCACTTTGTATCCTGTTTATCTATGTCATGTTTGGTTTTAGTTTTTGATTAAATAGGGTTCAAAACCAGAATAACAGAGGTTGAGTCTTTATTAATGATGAATAAGGATTTAGAAAGTTGTTTCTAAAGGTTTGTGAGACACAGAGTGAGGGGGTGGCAGAGAACATTGTGGTAAAGAGCAGTTAAACAGAAAGCCACATCATTTTAAACAAATCTGAACATCTTGAATTGAAGCATCTATGATAGTTACTTGTACTGAACCCAAAAGTCAAGACAGACTTTAATTCATGCTGTGTGAGTCGGTGAGATCTGGTCATGTGTCCTTCTGTTATAGCCTTCATTATATTTCTCATGCTGATTTTTTGTATTAGAATGTTTAAAAAAATCACTTCTACAGATTTGTGGAACTAAAAATCATAAAAAAAAACAGTGAAAGGAAAGTAATGAACAAGAATCAGTCTGATTTAAATCCAACCTGATTAGGAAAGGATTTAATGAGTGGTTTATCCTGCCCCCCGATCTGTCAGCTGTTAGTTATCATTCTGTTTGGTCCTGAAATCTAGGACGTTGACTGTGGTTGAACTTTTCAAAGCAGGCCTTCAGAAATACATTGCATTACATTATATCATGTGACTCTGCTGAACCATATTTGGTGCTTCAAGTTTCAACTCCATAGTACCATAAGGTAAGGGAGGAGCAGTGAATGCTCTCACCGTACGCCGCTGCACCACCCTTGATTGCACAGTTTAGGTTTTGTCTCATTGATGTAATAATAGAAACAGGATAAAGGAATCTTTCTATGGTGGATGTGTTTCTGTTGGGAGGAGTTGATTGAGTCCTGAGGAACCAAGCAGGAACTGACATCCATCAGAGCAGAGCTCTCTAACTCTGAAATCCCACTTCCTCCATCACCAGTGTTCCTTGGTGTGATTTATATTTTTAGGATTTGGGGAAAAAAATGGAAGAAAGTTCCCATTCCTGCATCAGCGCGCTACTTGTTGCATCTGAGAACGGTTTTCGATGCTTGCAGCCAAACTAGCTGAAGTAGTGGAGTTTGGAGATGCAATCCTCTTCTTAAATCTATATTTGCTCTCCTCTAATTTATCCAGAAGTTCTGCAATCACTCTTTTCCCTCCCTCCCAGCCTGGTGGTGGTGGGCTGCATATTTAGCAAGCCTCCCCTGGAAATGCCTTTCCAAATTAACTTTTTTTTTAATTAGACAACTTCTCATTCCAAAGCAAACATGCTTCCTCATTGGTAATGAAAGCAAATGATTCGCTTTATTCTTTTTTGAATCCTCTTTTCTTATCAGCTATCTTCCTTTTTTCCCTATGGGATCCATGACCTGAGACACAGCCGCAACTTTTTACCTTTACTGTTTACAGCAGCCACCTGCCTGGCACCGCGCTGAAACCTGCTGCAGGATATGATGCAAATATTCCTTGACAGAAATGTTTACATTTATTGTTTAGATTTATTAAAAAAATAACAAACAAGCAAATAAATATATTATTTTCTATTTTCATAAATTCAGAAAAAGCTCCACATGCGGCTCTGGAGCCGCAAAATGCCAACACCTGGTTTACGCGAAATGGTTCGTGCAAATGTCTTTTTTACAGCTATTTTATTTGCCAAAGCTCTTTTTGGAAATATCATCACAGCAATATAAACCCTAGAAAGAAGGTGAAAACAAAGAGTTTCCATTAAACATTCTTCCAATTTTTTTTTGTTGTGTTCCAGTTATGGATAAATTTGTCAAGGTTTAACTCCTTAAATACATTTAAATCTTAGAGAGCTGTAAATCAAAGCTATACAAAGAATACAAAAAGATGATTCAAGATTTTTATTACAGAATTACAGACAGGTAAAGTATGGAGGACCAGGACATTGAAAAACAAAGACATACTGTTTAAAAATTTAACATTTAAATCATACAATTAAAGATCCAATTAAAAAAAGCATTTTTTAATGGCATATATCAATGTATTTTTTAAACAGGAACTGTAAATCATATATTCATGAATCCATTATTAAATACTGCAAAATGTATTTTAAAATCCTATTTCTAAGTTCATAATTTTAAATAATAAATGCCATCTGCTATCAAAACTGTAACGTTCTTGGTTCTGTTGGTTTTCTCTAAGTTTTCAGTTTCAAGTTCATCCAGGTTTTTCCTTGTTTTCTAGCTTTATTGGTGTGTTCTGGATATATTTATGTTTCTTAGGTTTTTCTTTGTCTCTCCGCTGTTGCCCCCTTGTGTTTTCATTTCCCTTGGCTTCCTCATCAGCTCTACTCACACCTGCTCCTTATCAGCTCGTTAGTCCTGCCTTTGTTCAGTCAGCCATAAATCACTCCCTCTGCAGTCCCTTAGTGCTGGTTCCTCATCTTACTTTGTCTCACCCTGGCTCCTTGTCATGGTTTTCCCCTGATGACTCCATGGTTCTGGTTTGTGTTTTAATTTTAAGTTGGATTTTTTGGATTCCTGTTTTTGCTGCCTGATCATTCATTAAATCTTTAAAGAACTCACCCCTGCCTGTCAGCCTCTGCATTTGGGTCCTCAAAAAAGCCTCCAAACTAATCGTGACACAAAACAATTAAAAGGTAACTTTCTTCTCCCATTTCTATTTTTTTCAACCTGCCGTTTTAAATCCTTTTTGCAGTATTTTATTTTTACTTTAGCAAAGCTTTATTGTTTATCGTGACCCTTCTGATGAAGGGTGAAATCTAAGCTACGGCAGATAGCTGTCGATATAGCAATCCAGATTAGATTATCGTTGGGATTAGGGCTATTAGAAAACTAGTCAGCTAAAGGTTAAATGAACTGCATAATTGATGTAATGAATAATATCATTGATGTTTCCAAAAAGCTTGTATTGAATTATGTTTTGTTTCTGTTGCTTTCTGCACCCTCAGGTAAAGGCGATGTCTTTGGAGATGTCTTTTGGAAGGAAACCAACCTAGCCCATGCCTGCGCTAACGTTCGAGCCCTAACCTACTGTGACCTTCATGTAATCAGGAGGGAAGCCCTTCTCAAAGTGTTGGAGTTTTACACTGCCTTCGCTAACTCCTTCTCCCGGAACCTCGTCCTCACATGCAACCTACGCAAGAGGGTAAGGTGTGGATACCAACGTTCTGCAGTAAAGTGATGGTTTTTCAGTAGCATTCCGAGTTTAGTGATGATCCTTTACCCCTTATTTTATTCTTCAGCAGAAAATCCCAGAAAAGTCCTCCAATCAAACACCAGGTGGAGAAATCTACAACACTTAGTAATGTTTTATTTAGTAGTTTGAATCTAATATCCCTGCTAATAGCATTTTTAACAGCAGGTGCAGCGCAGCTTCTGAGTATCAGAGGTGCATGATGCACTTCAGAGACAGCAGCTTCTGGAGTTGGAAAAATGTATCTTTAGCTGCTGGACGCGCCACATCAACCAATCAGAGAAGCTGATCTGGGAGCTGGCAGGGAGTCAGACACAGCACTGCTGATGCAGAGCGCTGTGATCACTCCTCTGAAACAGTTTATTAAAACCTAAATCAACTTAAATTGCAGAAATATGCCAGCAGAATGTGTTCCCTTTTATTATACACCTGACCTCCCCTCCACACCCAAAGCTGTTGGTCTGACCAATCCCTAACATTCACAGCGCCCTGATCTATAACATGCATGTTTGAACTGGTAGATCCTTTTCTTCTACTTTTGTTGAAACTCTTCCTGAGCGCCTTCAGAGCTTTCATATTAGTTTTTCCTGACAGGTAAAAATAGTGAGTTAACAGAGCATGATGTGCTGCAATCCTACACTAAATCTCCCATCAGCACAGCTCTCATTATGTAACTGTGGGTCTTTCTTTAACCGTTTCCCTGAGGCAGTTAAACGCCTCTTCACCTGTCTGAGAGATATATCACTTCTAGGAAAAAGTGCAGATCTGCTCTTTCTCAGTTGTTGCTTTCAAGGCATCAGGAGACCTTGTTAAGTCTGCAGCTTCCTCTGTGTCAGTAGAAGCGTCCATTCTTTCACTGGGGAGGGACTTTTCATCAGACCCACAGGCACCATAATGAGGAGATTTAATAAAAACGTGTCCGCCGGGGTTTCACGGCAGCTGAATGGGTTTGTCTGGGCTGCTGGTTTCTGAAATGATGATCACGATTCACTAAATCTGTGACTGTCTCAATGATCTCAGCTGTTTGGCAGCTCTCTGGGCTTTCATTCAGCTCATTCACACACATATCCAGCGTCACCAGATGCTGCTGGTGGCTGATTAAAACTCTGCAGAAAATAGAAAACAGAACCTCATGTCATGTGTTTGAATTTTTTACATTTTATGTACAGTGCTGTGAAAAATGACTTTCCTGCTTTCCTTTGCTTTTGTAAAATCACCCTGTTGACTAAAGCACACTACACAACCAACTTTACTGCAGTTAATTTAGTTCTGTGATTTTGTTCTTCTAATTCTTCAACTTTATTCATGTCACTGATCAGGCAACAAAAAAAAAAATCCTCTTTAATCTCAAACTTGTAAGTTTTTACAGGCTGTAGCAGATCAGACAAGCTGTCTCTTCTCTCCAGTTCCATTAAAGCATCCTCACATTAAAAGCATAAGCAGCCAGGCAGCAGCTGGGTCCTATTTCATGAGTCCAGGAGGATCAGTGATCCATCCAATATCACAGTGGATCATTTTATCGTTTAAACTCAAACATATTCCAGACATTCATACATGTACTCTACTGCAAATTCAATTCATTTCAAAATTTCTCGATCAAACCCAAATAAAAATTAAATGTTGCAGTAATTATAGGTTAAACCGGTTTAGATGTTGATCTTCTGTAGAGGTCTGTCCTGCACTGGATCTGTAAAAGCCTCTGACTGAAGAAACTGTGTCAGAGGAGGACGCTCGCTGTATTCAATGATATTCTTCCCTTTATGAAGAATTCTTTTCTTTGAAATAATCTCAGAAAGGAGTTCCTCCTTTGAATTTTCTGGTCTTCTTTAAGTATCTGTCTGCTGGTCAGAAAGCCTGAAAGCGATGCTGGAGTCTGAGAGTCGATCCTGCAGCCATGTTTCAGTTAAACACATAATGCTGCATAGCTGATCTTCTGGCTGGGTCCATGCTAGAGTCCTTCTAACTTGCTTCCTAAATCTGTGTATACACCGTACGTTTTTCCCCCGCCTATTTGGGCCAAATTTTTGGAATCTAGCCGAGTTTCAGCCTCATGGTGCATCCTGCGCGGTGTAGTGTACAGGGGGTAACAAGGGGTTATCAGCCTCTCACGACCACCTCCCCATCGGGAATCGTAAGACAGAGCTACAAGCCGATTTCCCAGAACCTCGTGCACTGCGTATGTGCAAACAAGGGAGTTCTTCTTCCTCTCAGTAGAATACACAGAAGCATGGCAGGGGTAGGAGTCACATGGAGTCAGACGACAGAGTAGCGTGGAGCTGTGCCAAGCTCAGCCCAGTCTCTTTGAAGTTGCTTCACAGAGCTACCACGACCAAAAAACACGGAGAAAAGTTAGGGGGAGAATGCCGCCCAATCACAGGTACCAGGTACGTTTTTGTTTTGACTAGAAACATAGTTCAAGCTAAAAGGTTTTGTTGTGGTCGGTAGTGTATTGGTGGGCATGCATGTGTGTATAGAGAGAGAAAGAGAATTAGTGGCATTATAAGTTATGACGTGCACTTGTTTCTTTTGCAGTGGATGAGGTTAAAACCTGTGTGGCATCACTCTGGATACAATATGGGAAAATACTGACACTCAGGCCAGAAACCACTCACTCCAAAGCAGAAGTAGACACTTAAACAATGGGATTTTTTAAACAGTCATGTCATCCACAGACATACAGAAGCAGCCATTCAATGTGGCACTTCCCAATCAAACACCAGTTGAATGGCAGCCCAATACCCTCCTACTTCCAGCCACTGCAGTGACCCCCCCCCCCCCTCTTGCATATTTATTTCCTCTGACTCCACCCTTTCACTGAATTGCAGGGTCTGACCACGAGATAGCGCTTCTCTTTAGATCTTAATGTCCACAAATCATGAAAGAAAGAATATTTTTAATACAAAGATTGATGTTTATAAAGGAACTGAAAGGCACCAGCCAAGGACCCATCAAGGAAAGTGGGGAAATTTTGAATGGCTACTACTGTACAGAATCTACTCTGAGAGTTAGCGCTTATAACCACAGTATAAAGGGGATATTGGTGGGGAAATAATGGACATAATGTCAAAGTCCGAACTAATACCTACTTAAAATATACAAAGTCAAACGCCTTGAAGTTATTCACATGATATAAAGTCACTCCTGACAAACTTAATATAGTAATATTTAAGTGTGATATCATCTGACTGGAGTAACTGATTAATTGATTGACTTTATTGATCTCACAGTGGAGAAATGTACTCGTTCCATCAGCTCAAATAGTCAAAGGAGAAGAAGAAAGATATGTTACTTCATTATAATCACTTCACATCTGACTGATTTCTGTTTCCCACAGCCTGGCACTGAGTCAGAAGAAGCATGTGAGGGAGACGAGGATCCATCCATGTGATGTTTTAAGTTTTGCTAAAACCACTAGTCCAGTGTCAGTAGTGCAGGAAGAGGAAACCATTCTGCCTGTGTGTCTGTCCAAAAACAAAGAGTCAGAAAACAAAAGCCAGAAGCTCAGCACAGCCTGAAAATGGCCAAACTGTCACTGCTCCAACAGCTAAACCCTCCTGTCTACTGCAGACTTTGAGGAGCTACATGGACAGCTAGTAGCTTCAGAGTTCAATTCTATTCAGTTTATTTCTATAACGCCAATTCACAACACAAGTCATCTCAAGGCACTTTACAGTTCACCAGATCATCCAGTCAGATTGATTCAAAGTTATCTATCTAAGAAAAAACAGTTGATAGCATCGACTCATTGACTCTTCAGCAATCCCTCACACTAAGCATGCTTGTAGCGAAAGTGGAGAGGAAAAACTCCCTTTGAACAGGAAGAAAACTCCAGCAGAACCAGACTCAGTGTGAGCGGCCATCTGCTGAGGCCGACGGGTTCAAGGAGACAGATGCAGACATAGAAAAAGAAGCATAGATACAAAAGGCAACCAGCTCAACAGGCTGCCCCGTCCAGGAAACACACCCATGTCAGAGGATGAAGAGAGCACATCCAGTTAGTCACAGTCAGAGAAACAGGACTACACTGAAAAACAGGCCAAGCTCCAACCTCTAGAAACAAAGGTGGCAGCAGCACAGCTGATATTTCACTCCAATTCAACATGAGAAAACATGAGAGACAGAGCAGTACTGTTAAGGCTTAGAAGAAATATCATGAATATAATATATGATACACAGGAGGCAGAGAATACTGCTCAAAGCCAGTCAGCTGGTTAGTCAGCCATCTTTGTTTCCCTCCCAAGACAACCAGGTCCCATCTAGCTGGCCTATATCATTACAATGATAAATCCTGAGTAGCTGGGTCGCTGAAAACAAAGGTGTCAAGTTTTACATTCAATTTTTTTAATGTGAGAAAACCACATTGATTTATGAGAAATAAATTTTTTAAAAATACAAGTATTTAGGTTCTATAATGAGCAAAAGATTTCTGTATTTTCTTGAAATATAGATTTGTTTTAATCTATATGTTTAGGTTCTTCAAACAAGTTTATACAGTGTGGACTACAAAGCTATTATGTTGTTGATGTGCTGTCTACTTGAATGGGGCACTGTTTGCACATTTTATGATTAAAAATATTTTATAATTTTTTTTTTTAATAATTTTTCCTAAAAGAGTAAATCATTTATTTCCCATTAAGGTAGATTTATGTGTTTTAATTTGTTTTCAGATTTAACAACATGTTAAAGAAGGCTTTAAGATGGGTAAACTTTACAATAAAATAGCCGGGGTCACATTCTTATCACTGGTGTGGCTTTAATGACATCACAAGGTTGAAAACATAAACATCAACTTTTTAAAGCTACAGTGTGTAATAATTACAGGGATATACAGTCAGAAATGTAATATATTATACATAAATATGTTATTTATCATCATCTACGAGCTCAGCCTCTTAACCTTAATATTTGCGTTGCCTTAGAATTCGTTATTTATAATTACATAGGAGCGGGTC